AAATGCTATTTCCTGCGTTTTCAGCCATGGATTCGTCCAACAACTTTGCTGTACTAAGCCTAAGGAACACTTACTGTCCTTATTTTAAACAAGGGAAAATTAATAATATTTTGATTAATACGTAATAAAACAAGATTTCAATAATGCAGTGCCGTAGCCAGAACGATAATAGGGAGCTTTAGATTTGACTACGAGTACGAGATTTGATCGCGTGCGAGGAAGTTACCGTACTCGTTCTCGTTTCCATTCAAATGTTGCTTTTACAACAGTAAATCAACAACGAGAGTAAAAGTTCATAAACTAAAATCTCCTGCTGACTAAAATCCCCTACAAAACGTGTAAATAAGTCATAACATTAAAAACAGGCCAGATATTTAGTACTAATATATTATTTGCGCTGGATAAACGCTATATAAATGCTACAAATTATTTTTGGAAAACAAAAAAAGCCAACTTTCTTTCTTTTTTGAAAAGTCGTCGTGAGGACTACGACGTTTCTCCACAATTTCGTACTCAGATGGGCGACGGCTACGACTTTTTACCGTCAGTACGGGATGGCGTAAGCATACAGCATGCGTTTAGCTTGACGAATCTCGTACTCGTAGTCAAATCTAAAGCTCCCTAATTGGGGGGGGGCACATATTCATATATTCGTGTTCTGCTTTATTAATTTCTTTTGAAATCAATTGTTTTTATGGTATGTGAACACGAATAAATGAATATGTGCCCCCCCCCCCCCCAATTACCGTTCTGGCTACGGCACTGCAATAATGCGATTTTTAACTGCCCTCCGAAACAACAATGTTCCACCATGCAAATATAGCTCTGTAGCTTTTTTAATCGTTCATACAGATAGCTTGTTGGGGATCGGGTTGCAACATTTTCAGAAATTTTTTGAAATCTATACTCTCTAAACTGGCATTTTCGCATTAAAATCATCGTTTATGCAGTACGTTCAACTTGCATCCTGTAGATGGGCCTTTGTAGTTTGGAGCTATGCTATCAAAAACGCCATCCAAAAATACTTTTTCTACCATGCATATTAGATATGTATAAATAACTTATAAACTTGTGCATATCTTAAGCCCAGATTTTCTCGGGGGGGGGGGGGGGGGGGGGGGGGGGG